TATATATATATATATATATATATATATATATATGTAAAGAAAAGATATAATAGTGCAAGAATTATGTATGGAAATCCATAGCCTTTTCAATTACGCTGTCATGCCATCATCTAAAAAGCAGTTACACTGGTGAAAATCACGCAGACTTTGACTCAAACGTGATCAAGAGGATTTAAATATTGCCCTGTTGAAAATAGTTCTAATCTATTTAGTTTGGACACCTAAGTGATTTGAAAAACTCCAGGCAGCACACATGCCAGGCATTTTACCCTCCCCGATTTCTGACTCCTTAAATATGGCAGTGATTTGGTTACACTGTCCAGCGGTCACAATAAGGCATCTATGTATTAATGTCTACAGAATGGTAGGTGGGAGTTAATTCATGTAGGGGCGCAGTAGCATGGGGACTAGCCCTTAGCAAGAAGTGGTATACTTGAAGTATACTAAATTGGGCCACTAAAGTATTACTAAAGTATACTTAAAGTAGCAGGGCAAAGAGAAGAGGAAGGGGAGTCAGGTGCTCAAATAATCTCTGTGGCAGGGATGTGGCGTCAGTCACTCTCGCTTTGTCGTTGACCTTTGTTCTTCAACAACCTCAAACGGCAGATACAGGACTGCATTTAAAAAACAGTAAACCGACCGATCGATGCTTTCACATGTTGCCACTGAAGTCTCCAACAACACAGACAGAAGTCGGCATTCTCTTTTCTAAAATAAAAAGTCACTACAGGGGTCTGAAAGCTCTCTAAATCTAGGGACAAAGTTGCTGGCAACAGTGACTCTCACACTCTCTGCCTTCCCCTGTACCCAACTTGTTTCTAATCCTGTTAGAAAGGCAGAAAGCACCTGCAGTGGCGCCAAATGCAATACAGTACCATTTCAAATGTCTTGATACAAAAATAGTACACTGGAAAAAATAAACAAGTTTTTAACCGTGCAAAAAAATCTAAATCTGGATAAATCATTTTTTTATTAAAATAAGTGCATTTGTTCTTGAATTGAGGAGGTAAAAAAACACTTTGCCAATGAAACAAGACAATTTACACCTAAAATAGGAAACATAATTCCATTGTCTTGTTTCAAGTGCATTTTATCTCATTATCTTATTTTAAGAGTAAAAAAACTAATTCCAAACGATCTCATTTACCTAACCAAATTAAGGGTAAATCATTTCATTTAAGAAACGTTTACTCATTTCTAGATCATTTTTCCAGTGTGACATCTTTGGGCTTAACAGTGCTTTTCATTGTGTGAATAAATGTTATTTTTATATTAAAGTCTTGCTGTTTGTCTGTCATTTTCTAAGCTTAAATACTGAAGGATTAAAAAAAAATACACTAAGTTGCTGTTTAATTAACTTTGTGAACTTTGCAATGTATTCTTTAATTGATATTGGTGGGTCAGTGAATGGCTGATATAAATAGGCCCTGCCTTTTCTAGCTCATCAAAAAAAAAATTGGTTGAAAACATGACGTGGTTTACATCTAAGCGGCGTCTATAACTGGCTGAACAGTAAAAGGTGAAAATCCGTAATTTTTAGATAATTGAAAAGACTTGAAAAAAGGTTGTTCAACGTCTATTATTGAACTGAAGTGGGGGGAAAATTAGGCCGACCAAACACCAATTTTCAACATCCATTTGTAGGTTAAATCCAGACTGTGACGGACTGACCAGATTTTGCCTAAAAACCAACGTCTGGTGTTTGGGGGGGATGTCATGTACTTTTTTCAGCTCAGAAACCAGGTCCCAAATGAAATCTGATTGTTCAATAGCTTTGCCAAGATAAAATAAGTAAAGAGTTCCGATGTTGCAGGGGAAGTTAAAAAAGAAAAGTGCTTAAAAATGCTTTTGTTCTGATCATTTTTACAGGGGGATGGTAGCATGAGGGGATGTTTGGATTACAGGCATCATCATTTTTTTTTAAATAATCATTTCCAAAAAAATAACTGAAAAAAAATCTACTGGACTTTGTTTCCAAGTTTGAAGACACTTCTCTTCCATCCAGGAAGCTTTCTCATTCAAAATGTCAGAAATAGCTTTGAGTTCGAGGTTTTAAACAGTAACCCAACAAAGCCTTGTTTTAGTTTATAAAACATGCAAATAGAAACAGACTAATGGGTCCACCCCTTTGGAATGGGGGTCGTTTGGCTTCTTTTGTTAGCCTGCAATGCCCCATACCTGTCTATGTCTCTGAAAGGGGGGTCGTAAGAGGGAATTGTTGGCCTGGCTGAAAAGGTGAGGTCCTCCACACTGCTGTACAGGGGTTGAGGATGCGATGATATGGGAAAGGAATCAACTCATTTGCTGCATTGTAGGTTTTTGAAAGCCTGAGTCCACCCCCTCCGTTTAAGGTTGTTTTTTATTCCTTTATTCCTTCACAGCCCTTTCAAATTACCTATTTTGCATGGGAGCTGCCTTGGAGCTCATCCGCCCGGCTGTGAGTTTCCTGGACGGGGCCGCCTTTTACAGCTGCTTTTTGCTTCTCTGCTTCTGTCTCCTTGAACCCCAGTCCTCCTCAGCAGATGGCCGCTCACACTGAGCCTGGTTCTGCTGGAGGTTTCTTCCTGTTA